ACGTAAGTTACATGTAAATCTATTTTGTTTTCTAAAATGAGAGACTTTGTGTTAAAGAGCGAAAACTGTACCTCCTAATAACGTGTGGCTGGGTGCGCCATTGCATAGCATCATCAGCATCCAGCAGTATCACCAACACCCAGCAGCATCATCAGCAGTATAATCAGCAGCAGCATCAGCATCATCGTCATCAGCAGCAGCATCATCGGTATCACAACCCACGCCTCAATGTGCGATCTCCACAAAATCTATCTCGACCTAGAACCCACAATCTGACGTTGAGGGTCCTTGCCCATGGAGGCCTGGCCCCTCAACTGCTCATGAGACACTGAATGTCGAAAGTGGTCCAGAGTTTGCTTGTGTTGAACCAACATCGTGCTGAAATGGAACACTCCCGATGCATCGCTACTCTATCTTCTCTGTACATCCCCGAGTCAAACGATGGAAATTCCACATTCCGATGGCGGAGGGCGGAGCGGGGGGGGGGGGGGGTGAGCCTGCCCATGGAACAACCACTGTCGATCTCCAGCGGGATGACGCGCTGATGACGAGGGTAGCAGGGCCACACCATTGACACCTCTTTCCGTGTTAACAATGAGTGAGTGTGTGTCTATACACGGCGGCGTGATTCGTGCACACCGCATCCCCGACGCTGCACAATCCGCAATGCGCGCAGGAGCACATGCAGAGGATGCTTTCAGTCAAGCAATGATCAGTCTCACACCGTTTGTGAGACTAGGCTCAGAAGAAAGCTGTCTCTGGTGTGGACCAATCAGTTTCAAAGACAATGCATCATATATGATATTATCAGATCATTTTTTTTTGTTTGCGTGTTCGCCATAAGTACGTGTGGTTAATGCAGACATGATTCCTTGAAAAAATGATTCTGTTTGGTGTTTTAACATCTTAACACCTGTATTATTGCCAGAAAGGGAAACACATTTGGCTATATTATATTCTTGGGTCTTTCGGTAAAGTCTATATTGTTATATAATGATCAGCGTTTACACGTGCGGGAGAAAACCCACGCATGCGAGGGGGAAACACTCTATCCCAGACTCGACATTTATGTGATCCACCACAGCGCTGGGTCGCAGGTCACGTGCATAGCCACCACCGCACGGCGCATGACTCGATGCTCATTGCACGGGGGAATCGACAGGCGATGGGCAGTGGCGCTCTCGGCTTTCATGATGGTAGCCCAGACATTGAATAGAGACTGCGGCGCATCGAGGGAGACCAACATTGGCAATTTGCTTCAAACGGAATATATATGTCTAAATATATTGATGAAGTTCAATCGCGCGCCCCTCACTCTAATCCGGAACGACTGAGAGCGTGTGTCCGAACGTGCGACTGCTTCGTCGACTAGACTGTTAGGACGACAGCCCACATTACTTGCAGGAACTAATACATTAATTTCTTCCATCAGGGACCTTAACATCTCCTGATCTCCAAATGCTCAGCACTCCCAGGTCGAGGTTGCGCTCTTTTGGCGATCGTGCTTTTGCTAGCGTGGCACCCAAGCTATGGAACGCTTTGCCACTTGAAATAAGGTCATTAATCGAAATTGGTAGGTATATTTAAGTGTGTTTTAAATACCCATCTCTTTAAAGTCGGTTGCCCTGATTATGTTTTTGTTTCCTGCTTTTCATGCATTGCGCATTGGGATCCTAGGATGGAATCCGCATTATACACTTGAATTATTATTATCACGGACTGAACGCACACGGGCAGTCGTAGACCTGACCCTGACCACGGCGATAACAGCCAACGCGCCGATCCAACTCCCGCTGGGCTCATCCGGGTTTCGACCAGATCCTCAAGTGCCAGCTTTGAAAATTACAAAACTCGATCGGAGTGCCACGCGATGGACATCTCTTACAGCAGGGCACGTGGGAGAGAGCGGCGCGTCGAGTGTTAGTGTGAGGGCGTCGCACGACAGAATCTCAGAAGAAAGTTGGGTGACATCTCCCTCCGTTGGGCCATTCCCTCGGTAGTGGGGTCCCACTGAAAGTGCGAAAGCTCTGAATGGACTCTCGCATTAAAACAAAGTCCAGCACAGTCAACTCTCCATTATCCCGGCTCACGGAGGGGAAAGGGAGCGGCTCGGACAAAACGAAACGTGGATCGTGCACCGCGCTTCTAGATGAACGGTCCTGATCGCATTCCCCACGCAGTCGGGGCGAACAAGCAGCATGCGCCCTCTGTCGTTAAATGCTTCTTCAAGGTGCGCGCTCGCCCTACTTGTTGACGTGTCTGCGGTCACCGTGGGCACCGATTCGCTGACCCTCGACGTGCAAGGAGCAGACAATAAATTAAGGGCGCGTGCGTTAAAGCGTGCGCGCAGAAGCGCAGGTGATGTGCAACCCGGGGGACGGTCCGCCCACGGATAATCGAGAAACCCACCACCACGCGTCTGAGCACACGGCTTGCAACCGTGAGCACCTCTCTCAATGTCTCTCTGTCTCTCTCTGACCCCGTCGCTCGGTGGCTGCAGGTTGCGACCATGACTACCGGGCCACGCGCCGCGCTCATCTCGGCGTTAGCGCTGGCCGCCGTGCTCTTGCCCACGTGTCGAGCCGGCGCTTACTACCGTGACAAGTACAAGCCGCAGGCCCAAGCGGCCCCGCTGGGGGCTGGGGCCGGCCTGAAGGCCGTGTCCTGGGACCACCAGGCGGGCGGCCTGGGCCTGGGCCTCCCGGCGCATTGGGATCAGCAGCCGCAGCACCAGTGGGAGCAGCCCGCCGCGGGGATGAAGGTGAGCCGGCGGCGCGCCCGCTAGGGGGTCACACGGATAATTATTGATGGGGGGGGGGGGGGCGCTGTGGTGACTAGGAGATGTTAACTGCCTCGCTTGGTATTCAGGGGGTCGTGGGTTCGATCCCGATCCTGACGCCTGTTTTTATTTGGAGTGTCTTTCTCCCCATGGTCACGTGGATTTTTCTCCGGGTCCTCTGTTTTTTTCCCCTCCACATATGGAATCAACGTCATACGTTTAGAGTATTTGGCTGCTTTAAATGTCCACACGATAAACCACTGCGTTGGGCTATAATTTGTGCTAGCCAGGTCATTCTAAAAAAAAGCTGTATAGCTTTATACCTGGTAGAATAATAATGGTTTCGTTTTTAAAGATAACACATTTCTGGTAGGCTCGACACGCACATGTCGGGAGCTGGAAGCCCCTCCCTCTGTCCATCAGCCCCACCCATTTTTACATAGCCACGCCCACTCAAGCGCTAGCACCACTCACACAATCAGTGGATTGGCTCCTTTTGACGTTGACCCCACCCACCAACTCGGGTAGCCCCGCCCATTGCCCACGTGATGAGTCACACCCTGATTGGCTCACAGTGACGACATCACATTTGCCCTCTCTATTTAGAACCGAAACTGGAGGATGATTTCTCCACAACTCTGGCTGTCGCCTGATGATGCTGGTTTTAATTACTGGTAAATGTTGTAGTGGGTTTACTCTCCAACACACCGGTGGTGCTGAACTAGTAACGAATTGGCACGTTTTGTTTACGTGACAAACCTCACTGATTGGCTGTCGAGTGGTGGCGAGTTTAACGACACATTTATATTCATGGGATCAAACCCCAAAAAAGCCTTTATTATGGATCACCATTCTTGTCTCCCCTATGTCCTTGGCCCGGTCCGCGGCATCATGTCACGTCCCTTGCCAGTGATGTATCCCGCAGCCGTCAATTGTCTAGAGATGTAAAAAAAAAGGTTTTTGGGTTAGATCGCGTTATTTATAAATGTGTCGCAACCCTCCACCACCCGACACGGCCAATCAGTAAGAAATGTGTCACGTTAACAAAACGCCAATTAGTTACTTCTTCAGCCCACCGGTGTGATTGAATAGTGAATCCACAACATTTAGAATTTATAATAACGCGATCTAACCCAAAAACATTTATTATGAATAATACTGGTCGCGAAAGTCTACATGTTTAACTGTCTAGAGATGCATTTGCATTCAAGCACTCTGTACGTCAAACTCGTGTCTATACAATCGTCTTCATCACCGGCCACAATATATCCACTGCTAGATGAGGGCCTCCCAAAGCCACCGCCGCCGTCAGCCTTGCGACGATCCTGCGATGTCTAAGCAGCCCCACTTATCGTGCGTAATCCCTGAAAGTGGTGACTTTTGTCGCGCGCTTTAACGAGAACCCGAGTCGCTCACCGAGCAGAGATCCCCGTTGTGTATCCGTACATCGCGCTCACATGCGGGAACTCATCATCCCCAGATGACCTCGGCTCAGTAAAGCGCTCGGTAAAGTAAGACATTTGGCGTGCTCTCAAGCACTCCCATCTGTATGCCGATTGCGTTGCCAGTCTCCTGTCACGAGTCGACAATGACGACGATTCATCACGACGGGCGTGGGTTCGCCACATCAAAGCGCTCTCTTCTCCACCAGTAGGGACCTGGTCCAACATCCCCGGCGTGCAGGGCTCTCTCCATCAACGTGCCAACACGGAGATGCAGGATTCCTGCAGCAATAGAGGCCACCGGTGTTAGACAAAATCATCACTCGCCTTGAATGCATCCCCCGATCTTTGCGAGATCGTGGAAAAGAAGCAGGGGTCGAGCGTCGGTTACGTCTTCGGACGGGGACCGCAAGAGGCCTGCCAGGTGTTGAGAGGCGCGGGGCTGAGTGTTGCTCTCCTTGTGCTCAGCGCAAGGTCTGCGGTTGCCTCCCTCGCTGCGAGTGGAAATTAAATCGACGAACATCCCAATGTGGTGGCGGCACTCCTCTTGAAGAGGCGTGAACGAGACCCAGCGAGGCTTTCCTGGCTTCACAATCGGCATTATTATAATAAGTGTAAATTAATGAATAGCTATTCATAATGATTAATTGTTCTAAATCGTGGCTGGGGATGGCTGAGGAAAAAGTATGCTCGTTCCAGAATCCCCCCTCCCCCCCCCCGAGTCAGCCCATCCGATGCGGCCGAGTTGCCGCATTCCCATCATTACGATGCATTCCATCGCTCGAGCTGCCACAACTTGGATCTCTTCCTTGCATAAATCTGTTCCACTCTATAAATGCGCATTCACATTTAGCATGCACGAAGCGCTCCTTGAATGTCATCAAAGTGTATCATGCTGATGGGAAAGTCTTCCCGTCGCGGTAAGAGCCAGCACAGCCTCACTCTATGACAGCCGGGCTCCCGCGTGAGAATATTTGGCCGATGTCGTCGTGAGAAATTCAAATCCAACGCTTTTCTGGGAATGATGAGGAAACCCACCACAAGTGGAAAATGCGTTCAGGCCACGTTTTGTTGTTGTTTTGTCCAACGTCTTATCAGTTGGCGGCCTAAACAACAACACGGCTGCACACTCAGCTCTGTTGAGCTGGTGGTCTCGACAAGGCTGAGGGCATCGTACATGCGATGCCCTCGGCACCATGACACGCACGCGAGGCAGGCGCATGCCCGTAAACCAGGGTGTGGAGGCAGCGAGGGGCTGGTGGCTACCAGCGCAAATGATGCGAAATTCCCTTCCCGTGGGCATCGAGGTGGAGCCATTCCCTGGCTTTCAATGAGAAGGCGGCACAGCAAAAATGTGGATTCCGCCTGTTCCATCTGCATGGGATAGTGTTCAACCCTCGCACGCGTGGGTTCTATCAGGGGGCTTCGGTTTTCTCCCACGTGTATAAACACACGTTGATTGGCTGATAGCACTTTAATACAGAGAGGGCCACTGGGCCTAATCAATTGTTGGCACCGGCTCACTGGCTCATCATCGAGTGGCTGCCCTCCCACTTGTCTGCGGTTCCTGGTGCCATCAGAGTTGTTCTCCCTCTATCTCTGCGCGAGAGCGAGCAAACATTGTTCGGCGGCGCAGTTTTATGATGATGGGAGCCGTGTCTCTGTGAACAAGGGGGCACCCACGTGCGTTATCAAACCTCCGTGGCGTGCACGGTGTCGTGTATGAGGAGGGAAGCTGGAGCAGGGGTGCGTGCAAGCGCACGCGAGACGCGCCGCGTTGCTTGTGCGTGGCTGCGCTGGGTGGACGCACGGAAGGGCACGGTGGAGCAGCAGGGCCTGGGTTTGATCCCGACCCTGATGCCTGCTTCATATTTGGAGTTTTCCTGTCTCTCTCCCCGTGGTCGCGTGGATTTTTCACCGGGTCCTCCGGTTTTTCCCTCCACATTTAGAATCAACATTATACGTTTGATGTGTTTGGCTACTATAAATGTCCACGTAATAAGCCACTTCTCTGAGCTATTATTTGTGGTCAGGTCGCTTATGAAAAAGAGCTATATGACTCAGTGTGCCTTACCTGGTAAATAAAATAAAATATAGAAGGCGTGGACGTGAGCAGCGCGAGAGGGCTTCGTGTGAATCATTGGGCCTCATCGTCACGTAATCTGACGGCAAGGATAGAGGCCGCCAAGGCAATGGTGAGCAGGGCCTGCCGAGCCCCAAGGGGGACTGTGGGCTGGTCGGACAGCTTGGCCAGCCTTGCATCAAGGGCGCACCAGGTCACGTTGGGCAAAGCCCAAAATTATAAAATGAAATAAAAACAATTTTAAATGTAAGTTTTTTTTTCTTCTAGTAGGGGGTGATTATTGTTGCGGGTATATATTTCTTACAATATGGCAAATGTATGACCGTGACGCGGGGACACGATGGCCTACTCTTGCAAATTACATCACGGGATCTTTGAAATCCACTCTGAAGCAGATAGCGTGAAGAATTTCAAAGGTTCCTACACCTGCAGGATTAATTGGGGACGACCGCTAGATTCGAACCATTAATCTCTGTGACTATATGCGAACACGCTACTGCATAGCCGTGTTCACCGCCTAATAAATAATACATATTGACAGTGATGGTCATGTTGAGGATGATTATAATGATGATGGTGTGGGTTTGTGCGACGCAGGTGTGAGGCACTGTACAATTAAGACATGCTGATGATTATGATGATGGTGGGTGCTTGTGCGACGCAGGCGGCTGGACAGTGGGACCAGGGGCCGGGCCAGGGTTTGAAAGCGGGCGGAGTGTGGGAACCGCAGCCTCAGGGTGGGTACAAGGCAGGGCCGATGGCGGGTCAACTGCCCCAGGCCGGCAAGGACAAGTACAAGGGTGAGTGGGGGTGACCTGTGCGCACACGTGAGACGCTCCGGCCTGGAGGTCACTGGGTGGCGGGGTTGCGAGATGTTAACTACCCGCCTGGCATACAGGAGTTCGTGGGTTCAATCCCGACTCTGACACCTGTTGTATATTTGGAGTTTGCGTGATTTCCCCGTATTTTTTTCCCTCCACATTTAAAAACATGCATTCGAGAATTTGACTGTTATTTCATTTCCACGTGATAAACCGATTCATTCGGCAATCATTTCGCGTCTTGAAAAGAGCTATATAGCTCAGTGGGCCTTACCTGGTAAAATAAAATATAGTCCAATAGTAGAGTGGCTCTGGGGTGCGAGAGGCAAAGCCGGCACTGCTAAGATCCTGGTTTCCGTTCCAGGTTTCAACCGTCAGCAATAAAACTGCATTCTCAAGTAGAGTGAACTTATGGCCTCAGCCTGACACCAATAACGTATTTTAGTTTTTATTTAGCTTATTCCAGTTCTGAGATGTGCACGTTTTTAGTTTCATTGCCGTGCAACAAGCCAGCTTTTTCATGACATTGAAAGCAGTCATGTCCCTATTGTGAATAAAGAGGTCTATTGAATTGACCAGAAGTAGTTATGGATGTTATCTTTCGAGGCCATTCTCCCACACAACGTGATGTATTGCTGGCTGCAGTGTTCCAAAACATTTGTATTTCCTCTCACCAATAGCAGTTGAAATATTATTTTGGACAATAAAACAAATGCGATTTTGTATTAATATTAAGGTAGGATTGTGAGCATTAACTCGAGTGGCTATGTGTGTGTGCTTGTGTAACAGGTGTCGCCCCAGTGATGCCGGCCGGCATTAAAGGTGAAAAGGGATACCAAGGCGATCAGGGAGCACGGGGACCCCCAGGGGCACAGGGCCCCCCTGGGCCCCAAGGAAACGGACTGCCAGGTCCCCGTGGCCTACAGGGCCCACCAGGGCCTCCTGGATTCTCCAGCATTGGAAAACCAGGAATGCCAGGGATGCCAGGAAAACCAGGGCTTGGAGGCCAGCAAGGCCCCAAAGGTGACTTGGGCCCACAAGGTCAGCCAGGCCACAAAGGCCTGCCTGGGCTTCCAGGCCTTCCCGGGCCACCAGGCCAGTCTATTACTGGAAAGCCAGGCCTCCTGGGGCCACAGGGCCTCCCAGGGCCCTCGGGACAGCCAGGACCAAAAGGTGACCAAGGAGCGCCAGGCGTGTCAGGTCTCAAGGGCGAAAATGGTCATGGGATTCAGGGCATCCCGGGCCCGAGAGGCCTACCAGGCCCCATTGGACCACCCGGTCAACCAGGCTTGCCAGGCGAAGGAAAACCAGGCTATGACGGTATGCCGGGTAAGCCAGGCCCAATTGGACCTGTTGGGCCACATGGGGAGCTCGGGCCTATGGGTCCCTCAGGGCCAATTGGACTTCCTGGTCCTATGGGAATGCCCGGTGAAGGCAAGCCTGGCTTGGATGGTCTTCCTGGCTTAAAGGGACCTCCAGGGGATAAGGGCCATCAAGGCCTACCCGGGATGCCTGGGCCACCGGGCTTCCCAGGCATTGGCAAGCAGGGCCTGCCGGGCCCCAAAGGGGATCGTGGGCTGGGCGGACAGCTTGGCCAACCTGGCATCAAGGGCGCACCCGGTCATGTTGGGCTGCCAGGCCCCTTAGGGCCTAAGGGTGACAAGGGCCTTCCAGGACTGCCAGGCCCTCAGGGTCCACCAGGCGGAGGCGGTCTGCCGGGATTTAAAGGCGAACCAGGGCACATGGGTTCACCTGGCCTGCAAGGGCCGAGAGGCGAACCAGGACTCGATGGCCTGCCTGGGAAGGGAGGCCTGCCGGGAGATGTTGGAGAGCCAGGACCCAAAGGACTGCCCGGGGCCCCTGGACTCAAGGGTGAACCAGGCCACAAAGGACACCAGGGACTTCCAGGTGAGAAAGGAGTGGGGAAAGTTAAATCCTCTACCACAAGTTGTGACAATTACGGAGTGACGATCGAGTGACCATCGCCAGGACTGATATCCTTCTGTCAGTCCATGTGGCATCATGCTGTATTATTTTGGCCCACAACGACACGACACAGGTGTGGCCTAGTCAGGGACAGAATCAAGGATGGTTGTAAAGTCGTATTTTGATCAACGTTCCATCCTGGTAATTTGATGACGTACATCAGGAAAACATGTCACAGGAAGTGGTAGGATGCTGTTCTGACAATTCTGTCAGGCAGTGTCAGGTGGCAATTTGAGCAAATTTCTGGTTTGAATGAGCAACGCTTGGGACACATATCTCTAAGCCGCTGTGTAAAAATCACCACAGGAAGAACAAACCTAGCTGAGACTGCTTGCACATGAACCATGACATAATGCCCTGATGATTATAATTTAAAAAATTGGACTTTGGACCTAGAATATGTAAGACAAAACATTTGTATAGATTTATATGAACATTGTTTTAGTGAAACAATTAATGTACTTTTTTGCCATATGTGTACATTTTCTCTTCCTTGCATACAGGTATAACCGGCGCACCTGGGGGTAAAGGAGAACTTGGCCTGGCTGGGCAGCCAGGACCCAGAGGCCTGGCCGGAATTCCAGGCATGCCAGGGCCTGTGGGCCCTATCGGCATACAGGGAATCCATGGGCCAAAAGGAGAGCCAGGGGTGCCAGGATTGCCAGGGCCGCAAGGAGAAGGCAAGCAAGGCCTACAAGGCCCATCGGGGCCCGCGGGAAATCCAGGTCTTCAGGGCCCTCAGGGTCCGCCCGGTCTTCCTGGCCCACCAGGCCCGCCCGGCCTTCCTGGCGTGGGGCAGCAAGCCGGCTTCGGAGACTTCCCCGACAGGGCGGCTGCGGCGGGCGCCTCAGACGGCCAGAAGGCAGGCTCGCAAAAATACAGGGGCCAAAAGGGCAAGTACGACAAGGGCCAGGGCGGGAACGGGCAGGTCAATGTGCTTCCCTTGACGGCGAGTTCCGCGTCGGCCTTCACGGCCCGCCTCTCGGCTCCGTTCCCTCCGGCCGGGCAGCCCATCAAGTTCGACAAGGTCATCTACAACGGGCAGGGCCACTACAACCCGTTGACGGGCGTGTTCACGTGCGAGGTGGCGGGCGTCTACTACTTCGCCTACCACGTGCACGTCAAGGGCGCCAATGTGTGGGTGGCGCTCTTCAAGAACGGCGTGCCCGTCATGTTCACGTTCGATGAGTACAAGAAGGGCACGCTGGACCAGGCGTCGGGCAGCTCAGTGGTGGAGCTGCAACCCGGGGACCAGGTCTTCATCCAGATCCCCTCTGATCAGGCCGATGGCCTCTACTCCACCGATCACATTCACTCCTCCTTCTCCGGCTTCCTCCTCTTCGCGGTCTGAGGCCTCTGCAGCACTCGCCCCAACCGCCCCCCGCCCCCCCCCCCCGCCTCCGACGCGTAAACCCCTCTCCTGCCCAGACGATATCTTTTCACGCCCCGTGGCATGTCGTTATTCCATTGGGCCATCTGCGTTAGCCATACAGTCATCATTATTATCATCACATGCATACCATCAGTAACCACTGCATTGGCCTAGTTTACTTCAGAATTGTAGCAGACTAACTTTACTGATCGGCAATCCCCCCCACGCCCTCCACAAGTGTTTGGAAAGCACAAACGTTTATTCTTTGGTGCCTCTATATCTTCCTTACATGGGCACATCGTAGATGCTAAAATGCAGTATTACCATAACGTATGATCAAATATTATATGGCGCACGTGCACACTCGTTCACATATACAAAGACGTGCCTACACAAATACACACAGATAAACGGTCATGGGTTCATTGAGTAAGTGGAGATGTTTGCTAAATTTGAATAAAGTCGCAGTGCATTCCCTGCCACATTTATTGGTCAAAACTATTTGATTCTAACTCTGTGGTGAGCTTTAGGCAGCTGACAAAGTGATAAGTGGGCACAAGCAGGCAACAGGATAATTATCCACATATTGCCTTGCTTGGTATTACAATATCTATGTTTCCACAGTTCAGTCATTGCTCAAACCTGAGCACCATTTGATCCCAGGGTGTAGAGTGGGTCCTGTGTTGCCAACGCCTTTCCTCTCTCCTCGGCCTGTCAGCTGTCCCAAGGCCTTATTTGGCAGGCCCGAGTCCCCTGCATTGGTGTCCTCTTGTTATCAACCTGCAGCCACGCTCGCATTTATCATGCTTTAGATTGGCGCAGTAGCCGTCAATTCGTTTGATCTCGCAAAAACGGGAAATGTTGACCCTCGGTGTAAATGTGTCCTTCAGTAGCAGACACTTTTCCTCTGTAATTCTCAGTTGTGAAGCACCTGTACAGTGCACAAAGTGAGTTTGAGGTTGTGATAGTGCAGTTGATGTCCGTATGGAATTAAATATACAACTTGGAACCCGAGCTAAAGAGAAGAACAAAACTACATCGGCGGAGCTTGTGGTTTCAGAATTACCGAAGTAATTGTAGTTTAATGTTTGTCTGTGAACCGAAATCATGTTTTTATATCATAGTTAATATGTAAAGGTCATTTAATATATAAAATGTAATCATTGCAGTTAGAGGTTTATGAATACAGTAATAGCTAATTTGGTTATTGGAGGAGATGGTGTAAAATGCTCCCGGTCACGGAAAATGACGGTCACGGATAATGTAATGAACTCGAGGGACCACGCCATTACGCTAAGCATCCCACATTCACCTTAGCGAGGCCCTTTCCTTATGAATGCACAGAGGGACCACGCAGCCCCCCCGTGCAAGTATCGTTATTAAATACCGGAGTGCATTTGCGGGCGATTCTACGCAGGCGAGTACTTTAAAGACACGCGGCACACGTTCAGAATGCTTAACGGACCCGCTTGACAGGAGAGTTTAACTTTGAGCACCAAAATACATACACGTTGACAGAACCTCTTCCACCCTTTAACCATCTTTACTCGAAACACATTGCCTTGGCGTAAATGGACACAGTACCGAAAGCCATATAGAACCGGATAAGCATCATAGGATCCAAGAGATATAAGTATTTGTCATTATTCGCGATGCTTTTGTTCCTCGCTGACTCAAATCTCTTTGTTTTTGCCAAAACGTGCCACGTGTCACTTTTACCGTTCCATGCGTTCGTCTGGGTTGGGGCCCAGTTACATTCACGTCAACTTGCCAACCTGGGCCTGCCAGTGTAAGCACATGGCCCCCGCCGGTGGCTTTCAACGTTGCCACACGTGCCACCTTGTGTCCAGGACATCCTACGGCCGTGTGGTCACGTGTTCTCTGGCTAGGGTGGCCCACCTGTCCAGCACTTGACCTCGACAATCCGGGAATTGGCTTCTGTGTTCAGGGGGCAAGGGAGGGGGGTGCGCAGGAATTGATTTCTACTGAGATCTAACACCAGTTTTGTGTAGAAGTTTATTGCAGGAGACTCCGACAGTTAAGACCTAGGCTGTGACTGAGAACATCTGTCCTGGCCTGGGCCTGTGGAAAAGTTCACGAAACTCTCGCACTGGACCACCTACAACAAGGCGAACGCTTTGGCACTGTGTGTTCACCGATCGTGGTGACCACTTAGCCAGTGTGATGCCACGTCGTAATAACACACATTGGCAGAACAACTCGGCCGCCTTCAAGCTAATCTCAGTCTTTGCTGTGAGGCGTCTTGAGGTGTTTTATTAGCATTTGGACGCTACGTAAATAAATAAAATGCCATCCTTTCTGCCATCCGAACACCGAACTCTGGTGGGGGCAGTAGTTGTGGTGCATTGCCCAGTGCAGACACACACGCAGGCACGCATTGCTTCCTCTGACCCAAGTCCACCCGCCCATCACACCTTATCCGCAGCGCATCGCAAATTGCCGCGACAATTCATCTCGCCGCACAGTCCATAACGCGACTTTGTCAGAATTCCTGCAATGATTTCACGTTGCTATTCTTTTACGTCGTAACCACTCATTCTGGTGTAAGTGTATCTTTAACCTCCTGGGCCCTGCATTAGTTCACATCTGTACAATCTCGGCCCCGGACTATCGGTTGTACATCTGTGAATGGGCGCTGTGTTGACAGTGCTCCTTTGTGATCGTTGAACACTGCATCCCCCTCCGCGACCCTTAAAGAAAAAAAAAGCTGCCAGCAACTCCCGAGCACTAATAGCAGACGAGAAGGCGTCTGTTGAAGTGAACGAGGTTATGGGAACGTGAGAAAAGACAGCGCTGGCAGGGAGTCCCCAGAGCTGGGCAGCGCGAGGAAATGAATGAGTCCGTCCGAGCGAGTCCGTCCGAGCGAGTCCGTCCGAGCGAGTCTGAGTCCGTCCGAGCGAGTCCGTCTGAGCGAGTCTGAGTCTGAGTCCAAGTCCGAGTCTGTCCGAGTCCGAGTCCATACGCGAGCGAGTCCATACGAGCGAGTCCCGTCCGAGTCCGTCCGAGCAAGTCCGTCCGAGCGAGTCCATCTGCGCAAAACTGTGCTCTGCAGACCTTCAGACGACAAAGGTTCAGTCGATGGACGCCGTGCAGTACGCCCACGTTTCAGATATGTTCACGGAATGACGTGTATACGAAAATTTTCTATATTGTTTGTAGTTGTACTTCGCTATGACGCCAGACTAGGACCGCGATTGCAACGCACGGTAAGCTAACAACCGATGGTTTTAAATACAGGTAGCACCTGTGGTCGTATACAGCTCCCCTTTCAGCATGTCTGCGACCTCCCCTCTCTATCACTCTCGTCTTTAAAAGTTAAATAACGGAAGATTGAATTTGGGTTGGGCTCTGAACCAGAGGGTTGCGAACTGGCTTTTTTTTAATAGGAGCTGTGTGAGTTCATAATTAAGAGCTGGAGGTCTTCATGGCCAGTGCTGTTGATGTGGAGGTCATCTGTAGTCCAAGCAAGGTTGAGAAGAACTGCTGGTAAAAGCATTGTAGAGCATTTCAACCATTCAGTGCTTATCCGATTACTGGAATAAAATCTGTTACATTTGCCTTTAAATTGACATTATTCCGATACGCTAAGAGGCCTTCATCCATCGCAACGAGCCTATTCATAACATCGACCCCCCCCCCCATGACATCGAATAGATGTTTGGCTCAAACGAGAATTGAGGCGGAGTTCATCTCCCAGTTCACAGCCCTGGGTCAGTAGTGGACATTCCACATGCCTATGGCGGGGTACGAGTTGGTCTGTAGGACAACCACCGTTGACTTTGTCAAAAAGGTGGTGCTCCTTTTTTCATCGCGCGAGGATCCAAGTCTGAAAAAACAAGAATAGGATTTTACCCCTTTCTGCCAATAAAACAGGAGTTGTGTTAAGATGTTCAAACACCGAATATAACCTTTTTGCAAGGGATCGTGTGCTGCATTAACCACACGTACTTGTGGTGAACATGCAAACATGCTCTGATAATGATATCTGCATTGTCTTTGAAACTGATTGGCCTGCACCAGAGGCAGCAGCCTTCTTTCGAGCCAAGTATCACCGGTGTCAGACCAGAGAACGCCAAAAGGCGAACATAACAGAGACAATGCACTATCAGAGCATTATAGCTCGAGGTGAGCAGAAAGGGTAAAACCTAGTCTTATTTTTTCATACTTTGATACTGGCAAAAAGATCAAGTCTGTAGATCCTGTACGCACCACTGTATTTTAAGATGTATGGGCATGAGAACAACGTATGGGCATGAGACCAGTGTATGGGCATGAGATCAAGGTCTATAGGATCACTTTCAGTGCCTAGCGCTGAACACGGTGGGCGAGGGGACCCCTCAGCACCCACAAGGCGTCTGTGGGATGCGGGGCTCACAGTTCGTGAAGGATCCGTGTCGGGGCAGGACGGCTGGGTTCCTCGGCACGTTGCTGACTAAATGGCAGCTGTTCTTGTCCGAAAATGCATTCTTACTATTCACGCCACGGCTTTGTTATTCAAATATATGTTTTCAAATCAACATTGAGCAACTGAAAAGAGTTGGGCGGGACCGCTAGCAGACGAGCGTGTCACTAAGCTAGGACGATGATGTCGCGTGCAGTGATAGAACATAGGGTTTTTGTTGTTATTGCTCGGGTTGCAATACTGTTACAGGGCACTGCAATAACGGTTACGGTACGATCCCTCGGGGGGGGGGGGGGGGATAGGTGTGAGAGAAAGGATGAAATTGTGTTAACGCAGTGTCACATTGGATTGCCATTCCCACCCGCGGCTGGTGTGGCACTCGTTAGACAAACACGGTCGTGATCGTTTTGCTCTTTCACAAATTTGCATCAACAAACCAAAGGGGGGGGGACTGTGTTACTAGGACTCCTCTACTTACGAACACTCGACTTAGGAACTTTCAGAGATACGAAGAAACCTGTCCGCACAGTCCAGTTGCCTGTTCGGACCGAGAGTCGTAAGTTCGACCGCCGCGCAATCGACGGCGGTGGTGGCATTCGTGAAGAACCTGCGGCCAGTCCCCGCGTTTGGAATTGACAGGAGTAAAGTTGGCCTTACGAACAAATCGACTTACGAACAGACCTCTGGAACTTGACTCGTTCGTAAGTAGAGGAGTGCGCTGCACTCACTTCAAGTTCCTTTGTGCAACCGATGCGCGCATCACTGGGCCCTGTCAACTGCAGTTCCGGCGACGACTGCGAATGGTCGCCACGCGTTTGTCGCAAAAACACTCCCTCGCTTCGCACCATTGGTCTTTAAGCCTCATTATTTATTGTCACGAGAGAAGACAGGCAAGCCACGATCCTGCAAATGCGTGTTCCTTACTTTAAAATAAAAACGCTTGACCACCAAAACAAAAGGGAAAAATGGGTTTTAAATTGTATTAATTTAAATATCAGGTTTTTTTTTATTCTTGCAGTTTCCAGAAGAAGAAATACAAAACATTTGAGTCTCGGGAGTTGTTGGTGAACTGCTGATATTGTTACTGTGACTGCAGCTGTGTTTTTGTGTGTTTACGCACACACACACACACGTGTCTTAAAGCATATTACAGTACTATTGTGGCTGTTGTTCTTGTTGCTGTTCTTGCGTGTGTTGTTACAAAAGAGACCAACTAAGACACACGGGCAGCTGACGGAGGGGGTCTTCCCTCAGTGGAAGGGAACGCTAAGCTTTATCACTACATGGTGCTGTTATTAATAATGGATGGTTGCTCTGGCACTTGCATGCTATAACTGCATTCTGAAACGGTGCTAAATCTTTGTACAGAACTACACAATAAAGTGCATTCCTGTTCTTAAACGACGGTCTCCGCTGGTTTATTTGAAAGTTTCAATCTGTGGTGCGTTTGTTAAAAAAACGGATCTGCGTTTTATCTGCCCAGTGCTGCATGATTGTTCTCGGTCACTGCCTGGCCTTTGCACTTAGTACATCAGAAGAGTTTAACCTCCAGGATGTGCGTGTGCACGTGTTACACGGGTTACGTGTCAAACTGCGACGCCTAATTGGCCACAAAAACAAACCCAATATATTAGTCAATCACGCTTGTGGGCCTTAAAATAACAACACATTATCGGGCACTTTTCAGCAAATGGCTCCTGTGCCGACGGTGGCTTGGAGATGTTAACTACCTCACCTGGTATGCAGGAGGTCATGGGTTCGACGCCTGCTATATATTTAGAGTTTGCGGTGTCTCTCTCCCCTCGGTCGCGTTGATGTTTCTCTGGGTCCTCCGGTTCTTTCCCTCCACATTTAGAATCAACGTGCCTTTTTGAGGAGTATTTGGCTGATTTCGATGTCCACGTGATGATAAGCCACTTCGTTGGGCTATCGTTTTGCTCGCCAGGTCTCTTCTAAAAAAGAGCGACATAGCAGTTCAGTTGGCCTTACCTGGTACAGTAAAAATAATTGTTGAGTTTGTTTTAATAGCATCCACATGGTGTGATGAAGGCTGTGAGGCAGTGATATTTCTCATCGGGGAAAACCCTGATGGTATAACCCTGATGGTATAACCCTGATGGTATAACCCTCATGGTATAACCCTGATGACATAACCCTGATGGTATAACCCTGATGGTATAACCCTCATGGTATAACCCTCATGGTATAACCCTGATGACATAACCCTGATGGTATAACCCTGATGGTATAACCCTCATGGTATAACCCTCATGGTATAACCCTGATGACATAACCCTGACTGGTATAACCCTGATGGTATAACCCTCATGGTATAACCCTGATAACATAACCCTGATGGTATAACCCTCATGGTATAACCCTGATGGTATAACCCTGATGGTATAACCCTGATGGTACAACCTTATTCTATAACCTTCATGGTATAACCCTCATGGTATAACCCTCATGGTATAACCCTGATGACATAACCCTGATGGTATAACCCTGATGGTATAACCCTCATGGTATAACCCTGATGGTATAACCTTATTCTATAACCTTCATGGTATAACCCTCATGGTATAACCCTCATGGTATAACCCTCATGGTATAAACCTGATGACATAACCCTGATGGTATAACCCTGATGGTATAACCCTCATGGTATAACCCTGATAACATAACCCTGATGGTATAACCCTCATGGTATAACCCTGATGGTATAACCCTCATGGTATAATCTTCATGGTATAACCCTGATAACATAACCCTGATGGTATAACCCTCATGGTATAACCCTCATGGTATAACCCTGATGGTATAACCCTCATGGTATAATCTTCATGGTATAACCCTGATAACATAACCCTCATGGTATAACCCTCATGGTATAACTTCCCCTGGTCCAAAACAGAAAGCCAGCGGCTCCCACGGAAACTGTCAAGTGTGTGTCTTGGATCCTCACAATGATGGTAACTCCTGACAGTCGAAAGCTTTTGGTTCCACGGCAATCACAACACTCTCAGATTTCCATCTTTCTTTCTTACGCAGACAATTGTTGGCGAGGGATATGACGACCTTGATTTTGTTTCCCAACCTTCGATTGATCAAAATCTTGACTTCATTTGTGCTATGCTCTTGCGACTGAAATGTGGGTCGCTTAAACCGGGGTCTGTTCTTTTAGGGCGATATTGCATTATAAATTAAAGTATAATTCCAACGCATGGCATTCATGCTTGTGCATTTCTCATTCCTTATTTGGATAAGAACTCAAATATTTTTTTATTTGACCAGGTGAAGCCCACTGAGCTATGTAGCTCTTTTTCAGAAGTGACTTGGCCAACAAATGATAGCCAACGAAGTGGCTTATCACGTGGACATGTACAGCAGCCAAACACTCTGAACGTGTGGTGTTCATTCTAAATGTGGAGGGAAAACCCAGAGGGTCTGGAGAAAAATCCACGCGACCGCGGAGAGAGAGAGACACAAACTCCAAATATTGAGGCATCGGGGTCGGGATCAAACCCACGACCTCCTGTATACCAGGCAAGGTCGTTAACATCTCGCCAACTGAGTGCAGTTTTACTGGTGGCTCCCGTGTTTCGTTTTGTTCTTGACCTCGGTTACCCATCCCACGCTTTCCGCTTTGACGAGCTCACTCTGTATTGGTAGCGGACGTGCCCTCTATCTTGGATAGGCATCGCCTTGGGGGACAACAAGCGTCAAGTAAAGTTTCTTGAATGTCAGCTTCTTAATTTACACCCTCAAAGGTGCGTACGGTCCAGCGGTCTACGCGTTGGGAGATCTTCAACAGCCCTTCACCTCTCCCGGCTCCCCTCCTTCGGGAACTCCATTTCTGCCGTCAAATCCCTTGAAAAACACCCTGCGCATTCGCGTTTGAATTCTCCAACCAATCCCCTCCGACTACTCGCCGATCGAACAGAAGACCATCGATCCATCCCGTGGCTGTTCCGCATGACCGATCAGGATCATCTCGCAACAGCGATCATCCAACTTAGAGCGGTCGATTCAAATGGATGCGTTTTGTTACACTGGTAGAATGTAATCACGAAAGGCATAAAAGCACAGGCAAAATGAGTAATGGTAGGATTCAATAACATCTGGAGAAGCAAGCAAATCAGCTATAAGACCGAACTGAACATCTTAGAAACATGCGCGTTCAGTACAGCTTTGTATGCCTGCGAGACTTGAACATTACAAAAGACTGACAGAGATCAGATATCGTCTCTCTAAATGTATTGCTACAGAAGGATACTGCTGCGTCGAAGCTGGACCCGAACAGTGATCAACGTCGAAGTAAGAAAGAGGTTGCACATAGAAGAAGACAACCTGATGATGATGCAGGCAGTGATGAGAAGGAAACTGGCACTATTTGGACCGTGTAGGATGAACAACAAGAACATTTAAAGTGTGTTGTTGTTGTTGTTGTACGGAAAAATGGAAGGAACAGGAAAGAGAGGAAGACCTCACAGAGAATGTCTTGCTGACGACATTAGAGATTGGTGCCAGCAAGACGTGGCCACTACTTGAGCACATTGGTGGAAACACGTGACGACATGTGCAGTGGACACCTACGGGCTATTTGCCCCGTGGAGCGTCATGATGATGATGGTGAATAATGGATCGTGATGATGATGATGAATAATGGATCGTGATGATGATGATGATGGTGGATAATGGATCGTGATGATGATGATGATGGTGAATAATGGATCGTGATGATGATGGTGAATAATGTATCGTGATGATGATGATGGTGACTACAGTAGTGTCATGATGATGATGGTTCGTGATGATGATGATGGTGATGAATAATGTATCGTGATGATGATGATGATGGTGAATAATGTATCGTGATGATGATGATGGTGAATAATGTATCGTGATGATGATGATGATGAATAATGGTTCGTGATGATGATGATGGTGAATAATGGATCGTGATGATGATGGTGAATAATGGATCGTGAATGATGATGATGATGAATAATGGATCGTGATGATGATGGTGAATAATGTATCGTGATGATGATGATGAATAATGTATCGTGATGATGAATAATGGATCGTGATGATGATGATGGTGAATAATGGATCGTGATGATGATGATGGATAATGGATCGTGATGATGAATAATGGATCGTGATGATGAATAATGGATCGTGATGATGATGATGGATAATGGATCGTGATGATGATGATGGATCGTGATGATGGTGATGAATAATGTATCGTGATGATGGTGATGAATAATGTATCGTGATGATGATGAATAATGGATCGTGATGATGAATAATGGATCGTGATGATGGTGATGAATAATGTATCGTGATGATGATGATGGATCGTGATGATGATGATGGATAATGGATCGTGATGATGAATAATGTATCGTGATGATGATGATGAATAATGGATCGTGATGATGATGATGATGAATAATGGATCGTGATGATGATGGTGGATAATGGATCGTGATGATGATGATGGTGAATAATGGATCGTGATGATGATGATGATGGATAATGGATCGTGATGATGATGATGGTGAATAATGGATCGTGATGATGATGGTGGATAATGGATCGTGATGATGATGATGATGGATAATGGATCGTGATGATGATGATGGTGAATAATGGATCGTGATGATGATGAATAATGGATCGTGATGATGATGATGGTGAATAATGGATCGTGATGATGATGATGGTGAATAATGTATCGTGATGATGATGATGGTGAATAATGGATCGTGATGATGATGGTGAATAATGGATCGTGATGATGATGAATAATGGATCGTGATGATGATGATGGTGAATAATGGATCGTGATGATGATGATGGTGAATAATGTATCGTGATGATGATGGTGAATAATGTATCGTGATGATGATGATGATGGTGAATAATGGATCGTGATGATGATGGTGAATAATGGATCGTGATGATGATGATGGTGAATAATGTATCGTGATGATGATGATGGTGAATAATGGATCGTGATGATGATGATGATGAATAATGGACCGTGATGATGATGATGAATAATGGACCGTGATGATGATGGTGAATAATGGATCGTGATGATGATGATGATGAATAATGGATCGTGATGATGATGATGGTGAATAATGTATCGTGATGATGATGATGATGGTGACTACAGTAGTGTCATGATGATGATGGTTCGTGATGATGATGATGGTGATGAATAATGGATCGTGATGATGATGATGATGGTGGATAATGGATCGTGATTATGATGATGGTGAATAATGTATTGTGATGATGATGATGATGGTGACTACAGTAGTGTCATAATGATGATGGTTCGTGATGATGATGATGATGATGGTGAATAATGGATCGTGATGATGATGATTGTGAATAATGGATCGTGATGATGATGGTGAATAATGGATCGTGATGATGATGATGGTGAATAATGTATCGTGATGATGATGATGGTGAATAATGGATCGTGATGATGATGATGAATAATGGATCGTGATGATGATGATGAATAATGGATAGTGATGATGATGATGGTGAATAATGGATCGTGATGATGATGATGAATAATGGATCGTGATGATGATGATGATGAATAGTGGATCGTGATGATGATGATGGTGAATAATGGATCGTGATGATGATGATGAATAATGGATCGTGATGATGATGATGGATAATGGATCGTGATGATGATGGTGAATAATGGATCGTGATGATGATGATGGATAATGTATCGTGATGATGATGATGGATAATGGATCGTGATGATGATGATGGATAATGGATCGTGATGATGATGATGATGGATAATGGATCGTGATGATGATGATGGATAATGGATTGTGATGATGATGATGGATAATGGACCGCCTGCGGCGTCTTCACGCAAGGTGGCTCAGAACGCCCGACATCCCCCTACTGGCCCACATCAGTACAGTCGCTTCTATAAAGCGGTGGTAGTTGCGTTCCTGAAGAACACCGCGTTATGGAAGAAAATCGCGTTACAATCAAGATATAGTATGAGGGTAACGCACAGTCTGCGATAACGCGTGAGATGCACACGCAGGCTGAACAAAGCCTGAGGCTCTGTGGGTAGCGTCAAGAGGCATGGAGCAGCCGTGTGTCACGATGCTGCGCCGAGGCGGCCGTACGGCCGCTTATTCCTCCCCGCGCTGCGACGTAGTTCCTTTCGCTCGATCGCGTTATATCCAATTCGCACCCGCGTTATGAAGAGACGTGTTCCCTTAATACGTCCATCGCGTCAAACCCAATTCGCGTATTGAAACCCCGCGGCGTTTTAGGAAAACGGACTGTACAGTCTAGGGAATGTGGACCTTATAAACAAACTTCGCTTATACAATTGCGACAAAATTAATTGGTGGGTGTCCATTTCTACTGTGCTACAGATAGGCATGTGAAGAGGTACCTGATAGTAGCTCCTGTATTGAGTGCCAGCCACACTCTGAGTTAAATTAGAACAAGTCGCTGGACACAAGACAATACTTTCCCATAATGCAATATGCCCGCAACATGTTAGATTTGTTTTACTTTTAATATTCATTAATTTGTTAAAAAGGGGGTTGTATGGTAATGATCAGCTTATTTGTGGTGACTTGTCGTGTGCCTATTCTAAAACTGGTCACCAGAAAAACAAATCTCATCAGGCCCCATGGTGTAAAGGAGACTCGCCAACCCATATTAACTCTAAAATCGAGATTCCCGGCCTGCCCTAACTCTATATATATCAGGCCCTAACTCTATAGATATCAGGCCCTAACTTTAAAATCTAAATTCTCATGAGGCCCCATGGTGTAAAATAGATTCTCCAACCCGCATAGACTCTATTTCTCTGGCATGTGTTATGAAAAATGGCCATTCAATGCATTAAAACCTCACGAATTATGTTTTTATCCAGATCAGGCCAACAAAGTGTTTGCTTTTGCACCACTGCCAACGCAGCGCCACCGGCTGACATCTAACAGAGAGGCAACTTGCACTTAAACATTTGGCAGTTCAGCACTTCTTAAATCAAGACTGACTGCTGGTGAGACACTGATGTTGTACCGGGCCCACAGTTTGCTTCTGTCTAAGCAGCGCGACTGATGAGCAATGGACTCGCGAGAAGGCGCGTGGCTGACGGCAAGTCAAACACGTACTCTTACTTAGAATTAAGTGGGGCAGATACGCAAAACATTTATTCTGCTGAAGACACACGGAGACAATAGCCGGGGGGGGGGGGGGGCTAGAGAGACAATAGACAAGGAGGGGCCTAGAGAGACAATAGACAGGGAGGGGCCTAGAGAGACAATGGACAGGGAGGGGCCTAGAGAGACACGGAGACAATAGACAGGGAGGGGCCTAGAGAGACACGGAGACAATAGACAGGGAGGGGCCTAGAGAGACAATGGACAAGGAGGGGCCTAGAGAGACAATGGACAGGGAGGGGCCTAGAGAGACAATGGACAGGGAGGGGCCTAGAGAGACAATGGACAGGGAGGGGCCTATAGAGACAATAGACAGGGAGGGGCCTAGAGAGACAATGGACAGGGAGGGGCCTATAGAGATGTAGTGGTGGTATTGACGTGCGCCAGCAGTGATGGATCACGGGGCGCGGGGTTGGGCACGCGGTGTGGGCGTGGCATGGACGCGCGCGCCGGTGGTGAGGCGCGCTCACACAAGCTGGGAAAAGAGGATCGTAGCGAGTGCGCAGTGATTGGTCAGATAAGTGGGTACTCTCAGCGACGTCCGCAGGAGGGGTATAAAGGGGGACGCGCGAGAGCACTCGTGGTCAGTGTTAACCAGTTGAAGACCGAAGACGGGGTGGAGGAGGTAGGGGCCCGAGACCCCTAGTCCCGCCGTCCTTGTGGGGACCGGGGCCCTGTGTGGCTCGGAGCCGAGACTGGGGGGACCGTAGTCCGACGCCCGTGTGGGTCGGGACGGTGGTACCCAGAGCCGAGACGGGCACCCCGGCTGGGTGTGTCCCGGAAGGCTACGGGGCGTAAGAGCCCGTGTCAGTACAGCTGAGTGGGTGTTGGTCACCCGTGTAGCTGAGTGGGTGTTAGTCACCCGTGTAGCTGAGTGGGTGTTGGTCACCCGTGTAGCTGAGTGGGTGTTAGTCACCCGTGTAGCTGAGTGGGTGTTGGTCACCCGTGTAGCTGAGTGGGTGTTGGTCACCCGTGTAGCTAAGTGGGTGTTGGTCACCCGTGTAACGAAGTTGTAGCTGAGTGGGTGTCCGTCACCCGTGTAGCTAAGTGGGTGTTGGTCACCCGTGTAACGAAGTAGGGTGTTAGTCATCCGTGTAACTACAAGTTGGTGAAAATAAAGAGTGTGCTACCCGTGACGTCGTCTCCTGCCGAGTTACTACTTTACAGAGACAATAGACAGGGAGAGGCCTAAAGAGACAATGGGCAGAGAGGGGCCTAGAGAGACAATAGATAGGGAGGGGCTTAGAGAGACAATGGACAGGGAGGGGCCTAGAGAGACAATGGACAGGGAGGGGCCTATAGAGACAATAGACAGGGAGGGGCCTAGAGAGACAATGGACAGGGAGGGGCCTAGAGAGACAATAGACAGGGAGGGGCCTAGAGAGACAATGGACAGGGAGGGGCCTATAGAGACAATAGACAGGGAGAGGTCTAAAGAGACAATGGGCAGAGAGGGGCCTATAGAGACAATAGACAGGGAGGGGCCTAGAGAGACAATGGACAGGGAGGGGCCTATAGAGACAATAGACAGGGAGGGGCCTATAGAGACAATAGACAGGGAGGGGCCTAGAGAGACAATGGACAGGGAGGGGCCTATAGAGACAATAGACAGGGAGGGGCCTAGAGAGACAATAGACAGGGAGGGGCCTATAAAGACAATAGACAGGGAGGGGCCTAGAGAGACAATGGACAGAGAGGGGCCTAGAGAGACAATGGACAGGGAGGGGCTTAGAGAGACAATGGACAGGGAGGGGCCTAGAGAGACAATAGATAGGGAGGGGCTTAGAGAGACAATAGACAGGGAGGGGCCTAGAGAGACAATAGACAGGGAGGGGCCTGGAGAGACAATAGACAGGGAGGGGCCTAGAGAGACAATGGACAGGGAGGGGCCTAGAGAGACAATAGATAGGGAGGGGCCTAGAGACAATGGACAGGGAGGGGCCTAGAGAGACAATGGACAGGGAGGGGCCTAGAGAGACAATAGACAGGGAGGGGCCTAGAGAGACAATAGACAGGGAGGGGCCTAGAGACAATGGACAGGGGGGGCCTAGAGACAATAGACAGAGAGGGGCCTAGAGAGACAATAGGCAGGGAGGGGCCTAGAGACAATGGACAGGGAGGGGCCTAGAGAGACAATAGACAGGGAGGGGCCTGGAGAGACAATAGACAGGGAGGGGCCTAGAGAGACAATAGACAGGGAGGGGCCTAGAGAGACAATAGACAGGGAGGGGCCTAGAGACAATGGACAGGGAGGGGCCTGGAGAGACAATAGATAGGGAGGGGCCTAGAGAGACAATAGACAGGGAGGGGCCTAGAGACAATGGACAGGGAGGGGCCTAGAGAGACAATAGACAGGGAGGGGCCTGGAGAGACAATAGACAGGGAGGGGCCTAGAGAGACAATGGACAGGGAGGGGGGGGAGGCGGAGTCGCCGCCCGCGCCTCCGAGTGGAGGCGCTCCCTGCAGACTGAGCCAGAGCGGGAGGAGCCGAGTGGGTGTGCGGGGTGAGGAAGACGCGGAGGGTGGAGGAGGAGGAGGTGGATACGACAACTAGAAGGAGGATAAGACGAGGAGAGGAGACGAGGCACGAAAACAATAGCGAGGAAGTAGCGAGGGGGTGACGGGGAGGAGGAGAGAAAGCGACGGAGAGGAGACGAGGAGGAGGAGGGAGGAGGCTGGGCGATGGACATGGCTTGGCTTCTGGCGGTGATCGCTGCCGCGAGTGAGTGCGCTGCTGCTGCTGCTCCCACCTGATGATGGTCGTGGTGGTGATGGTGGTGGTGATGATGGTGGTGGTGGTCGTGGTGGTGGCTCCGCGTCCACAATTGCGCGCGTCATGCGCGTGTGTGCCCGCGCACGCGTGTGTCTTTGTATGTCTGCATCGTCACCAGGGAGACAAAGGCGGCCGGGCGTGGTGCTGGCAACCCACCCCATCGTGTGCCGTGCTGGCCTTCAAAGGTGCTCGCCAACAGCACTTGACCTTATAGTCTGTTAAGGCTATACCGGGGATCTTTGTATTTGTGTATACATGTGCGTGTATTACGTGCGTGTTTGTCTTGTATATGTTCATATCGTCACCAGGGAGACAAAGGCGGTCGGGCGTGCCGACCTTCATGGGTGCTCGCAAACAGCACTCGCGTTAGCGGTCTAAGGCTATCCGGGGACTCTTTATCTGTGTACGTGTATGCTGTGTGTATGTGTCTGTGTGTATGTGTGTGTGTGCGCGATGTGTATGTAAGTGTACATGTGCGGGGAGCGGTGGTGGAGTGGTTTGTGCAGAGTTCGACCAATAATAGTGACGAATATCTGAACCGGTTCTGGGCATCCCCTAGGTCGACTCAGCCTTAAATGAGTACCTGGTTTGGTGCGTAAACATAACCACGGGGGAGACAAAGGCGGCCGGGCGTGGTGTTGGCCACCCACTCCCTCGCTAACAGCACTTGCCACAACAATCTGTTCAGGCTATTCGGGGGATCTTTATATATTCTAGTTGCTCGTTAACGGCATTTAGCCCAGCTGTCTGTCTAAGGCTACACGGGGGAGCTTTGTGTTATTCTTTGTACGTGTCTGGAGGCACGTGTGTGTGTACGTGTCGACGTGTGGGGAGCGGTGGTGCAGCGGTTAGCGCGCTGTGCTACGAACCCGGCGACCCGAGATCGATTCCCGCTCACGGGCCAATACCGGTGCCGATTATCTGATCCGGTCCTGGGCTTCCCCTAGGTCGACTCAGCCTCAAATGAGTACCTGGTGCGGTGTTTAAACATCGCCACTCGGAGACAAAGGCGGCCGAGTGTGGTGTCGGCCACCCACTCCCTCGTGTGCCGTGCCAACATTCATAGGTGCTACTCGCTAGCAGCACTTGCCCCAACAGTCTGTGAAGACTACACTGGGGATCTTTTATTGTACTTGTGTGTGTCAGCGGAGGGTAGAGGAGCGGAGCTCGCACTGGCCGGGCGACGAACACGCAGCAAGTTGGCACAGCAGGGGGCACAGGTGGTGCGTCTGTCAGCCACGGCAGTCAGTCGACCCACGGCACCACCTGGGTCTGTCCCGTGACCTCCTCCTGCCAGCAGCGAGCCTCCGACACTTCTCGTGGCCTCAGTGGCGAACGGCGGCTGTTGTATGGGTCTGTGTTGTGTGTGTGACGTTTGTGTGTGTGTGTAATGTGTGTGTAATGCATGTGTGTGTGTGTAATGTATGTGTGTGTAACGCTTGTGTGCGTGCAATGTGTGTGTAATTATTGTCTGTATGTGTGTAATGTGTGTGTATGTAATGTGTGTGTGTGTAATGTGTGTGTGTAACGTTTGTGTGTGAAACGCTTGTGTGTGTGTAATATTTGTGTGTATGTAATGTGTGTGTAATATTATTTGGTTCGTTCGGTAAAGTCACGTAGATTAAAAAAATGGAAGTGAGCGTACTGGCAGTCTATAATGTAGACTGTAGCCTGGTTTTTAAGCTGGTGAGCGTATTGGCAGTCGATAATGTAGACTGTAGAAATTGTTATTAAACTGAACCTGAGTGAGCGTACTGGCAGTCTATAATTCAGACTTATTCTGGTTCTTTCAGTAATAAAAATAAACGCAAAAAACCACGACGTTTCGATCGCAACACAAGCGGTCGTCATCAGGAAAAGACGGGTTCGCCTCTAGGCAAACTGTTTACAAAGGTTAAGAGATGGGCGTAATGGTTGTGTGTGATGTGTATGTAATGTGTGTGTATGTAATGTGTGTAATGTGTGTGTGTATGTGTGTATGTAATGTGTGTGTATGTAATGTGTGTGTATGTAATGTGTGTATGTAATGTGTGTGTGTAATGTGTCTATGTAATGTGTGCGTGTGTAATGTGTGTGTATGTAATGTGTGTGTAATGTATATGTATGTAATGTGTGTGCGTGTAATGTGTATATATGCAATGTGTGTGTGTGTGTAATGTGTGTGAAGGTAATGTGTGTATATAATGTGTGTGTGTAATGTTTGCGCACTTGTACGGGCCTCTGGATGAGGGCTTGCCACTACTTCACCATACTTCACCATGCTGGTCAGTGGGAGTTGGTGATAAGCGTGGGGTCGGTACACGGGAGCATAGACGTGCAATACAACAATGGGTGTGACCGCACACATGTCCTGTCTTCGTCTCCGCGTGGCCCTAGAAGGCATCCGACTCATCGGGCTTGCCTGTAGACCTCCACTGACGTTGCCAGGTCACTTTTGCCAACGAGACTATATATGCTGGACTCATTTGTGTATGTTAAAGTTTGCACTTTATACGACATGTGCGTTGAATCATGTGTTTTTGGTAGTGTAGCGGTCAGCGCGCTGCGCTACGAACCCGACCACCAGCGTTCGATTCCCGCTCACAAAATAAATACCTGGTGCGGTGTGTAAACATCGCCACTCGGGAGACAAAGGCGGTCGAGCGTGGTGCTGGCCACCCATCTCCCTCGTGTGCCGTGCCGGCCTTCATAGGTGCTACTCGCGAACAGCCCCAACGCTCTGTCGCGGGCTATACGGGGGATCTTTGCCTCTGCACAAGATGATAAAATTGGACTTGGGCAGGGTACGTCACCGGCTTAGCAGGCGTGATGGAAGGTGGCCAAAAATAATAGCGGAGTGGCAGCTCGAGACAACAAAATGCCTCCGCACGGATTGTAAACATCGCAGGAGTGCGAGGGGCCTTTACACGGCAGCGGATTGATTACCGCTGATGATGATGCTGATATAAGCGCATGTCTCCCAGCCTCGTCGTGTCACTGCTGTGTAAGTGATTGCTGGTGGTTATCGCCGCTCCTTAATGTGATTAAAGTCTCGCCAGCTCACTCTCAGCAATCCGCCACGATTGATATTTAGCACGCGTTCGCCTGCCAGCCTCCACGGCATTCAATCACTCCCACTCATCATCCTCCTCGATTCTAAAGGTGGAGGGAAAAACCAGAGGACCCGGAGAAAAATCGACCACGACAAAGAGGAGAGAGACACGCAAACTCTAAATACAGAGGGATCAAGGTCAGGATCGAACCCCACAACTTCGTGTATACCAGGCGAGGCAGTTAACATCTCGCCACCAGCGGCGCCGAGTTTGCACAAGAAACAACATGAAGTAGAATTGGTTTCTGAGTGTCATTAAACAATTATAGCAGAAACATAAGTGAAATGGGCATAATCTGTCCTCGTATTACCCAGTAGTTCCTGTAGAACACCACGTTTTGGAAAAATATAGTTATAATAAATAATATATGGTAAAGCACAGTCCGTGATAGCACGTGAGATGCGTATGCAGGCTGAACAAAGACTGTGACCTGTGGGCAGCATCTAGAAGCATCCAGCAGCATCCCGCCTTGTGTGCGATTCTACGCCGAGGCAGACGTACAACCGCTTATTGCTACTCGCGCGACGTAATTAAACCAATCACGTTATATCTCATTCGCACCCGCGTCATAAAAATGCGTTCCCGAATACATCCATCGCGTTATGAAAATTACGCGCGATAGAAGAACAGACTGTAAAGTCATAGGGGTTGTTCCTACAAATGGGCATTGACCAACCAGGGTCGAGGAAGTGAAATTGAAAACTCGCTGAGATCCTGGACACGGGCTCGGAGGTGTGGGGGCTCAGAGCGGGCAGCACTGAAGACGTGGCACATTCGCCTACACGAAGAACAGACCCCCCACCCCCCACCCTCTCCCAACGGTGCCACGGTGCCTCCCCTCAAGTTGTAACTCGGTCCCACTGGACTTCAGGTAACCCTGAAGGTTTTAACCCTGGGTCCTGGTTGCTCTCGGCTCCAACGCGGCATCACTGGTTTAACACGTAGACTTTCACTGGTTATACGAGCCGGGTTCGAACGCTGCACGAAGTGAAATGGTGGGGCGCCGTCCTTGACAAGTGCTTGGGTAGTTGGGAAAAAAGTGGGGCATTCGCTTGTGCGTTGGACAACCTGAAAACTTGTTTCCAGCCCATCGTGCAATTCTTGGCAAGAACAAAGGCTGCACACGAGGCAATGCGCCTTCCAGTTGTCAAGTCAGTTCTGCTGCAGGGCTCTGAAAATATTCACCCAAAAACTTTACTAGCCGCTTTGAAGTCAGCGCCGTTTTCTCCTGACAGGTCTCTCACTGGGCGAGGGTCTCACATCAACACCATGGAGGGATACTTCTGGAATTGGAGGCTCAACTCAAACCCCCACGAAACAAGTCACTGCATTTCGTCTTGACAACAGAAACGCCAAGTGCACCCTGAAAGTCTCCCCTTCCCGACCTATCTAGGAGAGGAGCTGGACCATGCGCGTTAATATTCCACGACCACCTGAAAAATGTAGCCGCTAAGGCAGGGGTCAACTTGGTCCTGGAATTGGCGAGCACAAACCAGAGAACTTCACTGTCAGTGCTACAGTCTTCAGGGATGCCCTTGTGTGCAATGGTAAGGACGAAGAAGCCCCCAAACTTGTTGACGTCCAATTGAACGTTGCTACGTGGTGGCGCATTACTGGAAATAGTCCTCTACAAGGATAAATGTGCGGCATGAGGCATATCAAACCCACACTGTCCCTGGTAGCCGGCGCTGCCGCAACAGCTCACGCTCGCCTACTGCTCACGCTCGATGATCTAGATCCGACAAATTCGAGGACAGAAATAATCACGGCCGCCTGCTCAGATCTGCACTCGACAGTCATCCTTCTCGTCCGAGAAGCAGCTGTCCCTCCGGGTGCACCCCCAGGACCTCCAGCCGCTGCTAACGATGCCGCTGCTCACGAGGCGTCTGGCGTGGGAGGAAAGCGGCTCCCAAAGGGGTCCGTTCTGCCGGCCACTGATGAGTGGATGTGTCCTGGCGGTTGAACTCCTCATTTCGCACTGTACGTGACCAACCGTGCTAATCGGAGGTGCAGGATGTCACTAACTGCTGCACAGCTTGAGGACCAACAGCGCTAATTTGTGTGTTTTGCGCTCATGTTCATTTGAGGACACCGTATCCGTTAAATCCTGTTTTATCGATAGTGTAGCGGTGAGCGCTACGCTGCGCTACGAACCCGGAGACCCGAGTTCGATTCCTGCTCACGGCCAACACCGGTGACGATTATCTGAACCGGTCCTCGGCCTCCCCTAGATCGCCTCAGCCTCAAATGAGTACCTGGTGCGGTGTGTAAACATCGCCACTGGGGAGACAAAGGCGGCCGGGCGTGGTGCTGGCCACACACCCCCTCGTGTGCCGTACCGGCCTTCATAGGTGCTCGGCTAGCAGCACTTGCCCCAACAGTCTGTTCAGGTTATACGGGGGATCTTTGTCTTTGTAGAGTATAGAAGTGAGGCAGAACAACACCTCACCACTCCTCACTGCTCCTCACTAGTCTCCCCTCACCCTCCCACACCTCACCCCCTCCTCACCCTCCACACCTCACCCCTCCTCACCCTCCCCTCCCCCACCTCACCCTCCCCCACCTCACCCCCTCCTCACCCTCCCACTCCTCACCCCCTCCTCACCCCCCTCCTAACCCTCCTCTCACCCTCCCATACCTCACCCCTCCTCACCCTCTCCTCCCCCAACTCACCCTCCCCCACCTCACCCCCTCCTCACCCTCCCACACCTCACCCTCCCCCACCTCACCCCCACCTCACCCTCCCACTCCTCACCCCTCTCCTCACCCCCCTCCTCACCCTCCCACACCTCACCCCTCTCCTCACCCCCCTCCTCACCCTCCCACACCTCACCCCTCTCCTCACCCCCCTCCTCACCCTCCCACACCTCACTCTCCCCCACCTCACCCTCCCACTCCTCACCCCCCCTCCTACCCCTCCGACACCTCACCCCCTCTCACCCCCCTCCTCACCCTCCCACACCTCACCCCCCTCCTCACCCCCCTCCTCACCCCCCTCCTCACCCCCTCCTCACCCTCCAACACCTCACCCCCCCTCCTACCCCTCCGACACCTCACCCCCCTCTCACCCCCCTCCTCACCCTCCAACACCTCACCCCCCTACTCACCCAACCACTCCTCACTCCCCTCCTCACCCCTCCTCACCCCCCTCTCACCCTCCCCCACCTCACCCTCCCCCACCTCACCCCCTCCCCACCCTCCCACCCCGCACCCTCCCCCTCCTCACCCTCCCCCACCTCACCCTCCCCCACCTCAACCCCTCCTCACCCTCCCCCACCTCACCCTCCCCCACCTCAACCCCTCCTCACCCTCCCACACCTCACCCCCACCTCACCCTCCCACTCCTCACTCTCCCCCACCTCACCGCACCTCACCCTCCCACACCTCACCCCCCTCCTCACCCCCCTCCTCACCCTCCCACACCTCACCCCCCCTCCTACCCCTCCGACACCTCACCCCCTCTCACCCCCCTCCTCACCCTCCAAAACCTCACCCCCCTCCTCACCCTCCCCCTCCTCACTCTCCCACACCTCACCCCCTCCTCATTCTCCCACACCTCACCCCCCTCTCACCCCCCTCCTCACCCTCCAACACCTCACCCCCCTACTCACCCAACCACTCCTCACCCCCCTCCTCACCCTCTCCTCACTCTCCCCCACCTCACCCTCCAACACCTCACCCCCCTACTCACCCAACCACTCCTCACCCTCCCCCTCCTCACTCTCCCACACCTCACCCCCTCCTCATTCTCTCACACCTCACCCCCCTCTCACCCCCCTCCTCACCCTCCAACACCTCACCCCCCTACTCACCCAACCACTCCTCACCCTCCCACACCTCACCCCCCTCCTCACCCCCCTCCTCACCCCCTCCTCACCCTCCCCCACCTCACCCCCTCCTCACCCTCCCCCTCCTCCCCCCCTCCCCGCCCTCCCACCCCGCCCCGCGTGCTCTCTGCCCGCCAGGCACCGCCCCCACCCACGTGCTGCACGTGGAGGTGTCTCGCGTCTCCGCGCACTTCGCCACCGTCTCCTGGGACCTTCCTGCCCAGGGCGGCGACGACGTCATCGGCTACGTCATCTCACAGGAGGTGAGTCCCGCGCCACGGGCAAGCAGGTGATGCCACTCGAGGTGCATTGTGTAGGGCAGTGGTTCTTAACCTTTAACTGCAGCCTTGCAACCCCATTGGTTCTCAACCGTTAAACACCATTACAATGTTAACAAATACACAGGGTTTGATGAAACAAAGTAAATTGTACTCTTAGGTTTTTTCGGTAAAGTCACGTAGGTAAAAAATAAATAATAAAAATAATTGTGCTGTGGCTGTTCCACCTAAAGACGGGAGCTTGTGTTGCCTCCGAAACGTGATTTATTATTTTATTTCTATTATTTTTTCTGTTATTTTGTATTATTTCTTTTTATTATTTATTTTTAACCTACGTGACTTTACCGAATAAACCTAAGAGTATGAATTCTTGCAGTCACGAAAGCTTCAAATCTAAAGTAAGTTGTGCTCACGTGCCCCGGGCTGTACCTTCTCAAACAATCTGTCCATGTCTCACAGCCCAAGAAAGGGCATCTCGCGCCCCCCCCCCCCCCCCCCAGGTGAAAAAGAACGACTACTCTAGGGGCTCGTGCCACGGTGTCGTGCCGAGCAACGGCCGCCAGTGAATGTGCTGCCGTCACCACGGCTTGAGATCTGCCTCTTTAACTTGTGATGGCGTCTTTACTCAGGCTCCCGCTGTAGACCCTCTCGTGGTGCTATTACTGGAAGCTCGTCTGCCTTGGGGGGTCGTTGTGCTGCACCGGGTAACCCACGACCATGGACCCCCCCCCCCCCCCCCCCAGAGCCCGTTCAGCCGACACTTACAGACAAATCTTCTCCGTCACGTTGCCTGTCTGCTGCGATGGAGACAAAACAGTTGGAATTCAGATATTTAGGCGTCGTTTGCAAGACTTTAGGTATATAGTTTTTCATTAATTTTACTAATTTACTAAATAGAAGACTATAACCTAAACTATTTTTGTTATTTAAACTAAACAATTTTTTTTGTACTATTTTTATTTCACCAGCTAAGGCTTACTGAGCTCTATAGCTCTTTATCAGAAGCAACTTGGCCACGAAGGATAGCTCAGAGAAGTGGCTTGTCATGCCAACTACGCTGAACGTACGTTGCTTCTAAACGTGGAGGGAAAGGCCGGGGGAGCTGTAGAGAACTTGTAAACTTCACATCTACATACTCTTTGGTTCTTTCGGTAAAGTCACGTAGGTATAACATTGTTTTACAGTATTATATTTTATACCTACGTGACTTTACCGAAAGAACCAAAGAGTATGGATTCCTGCAGTCACGAAAGCTTCAAATCTAGATTCAAATCTACACAGCAGGTGACAGGGTCGGGGTTAAACCCGCGACCTTCTGTGTACGAGGCGACGGAGAGATCGCAGCTTGCCACTGTGGCGCTAAATCGGAAACAAAAGCCAAACTCTAGAAATAAGCTAAAGACACGTTTACAAAAATGTCTCTTAAATTCTGAACTCATTCCTTTTTTTAAGCTGAATTATCCAGATTTATACCCTTCAAAGAAGAACCGTATCACGCAGCCATCAAACATCATCTTCATGGGCCTGGGGATCCATACAAAAAAGAACCATGAACATTTTCTGCCAAACTATTAGGCCGTACGTATGTTGAACTTTTTTTCACCGTACGTAGCCAACCGTGCTCGTCGGAGGCCGTGTGCTCGACTACTCACAATCGCTTATTCATATTCTTGGTTCTTTCAGTAAAGTCACGTAGAAGGGAAATAATAAAATAATAAAAATAAAACAATAAAATTCTCACGACGTTTCCATTGCAACACAAGCACTCATCATCAGGTGTGTTTCTGCGACTCTGCCTCGTGTTTCTCCGACTCTGCGTGGTTTTCACACCTGATGATGATTGCTTGTGTTGCAATCGAAACGTCGTGAGAATTTTTATTTTTTATTTTTTATTATTTTTTTATTTCCCCTCTACGTGATTTTACCGAAATAACCAAGAATATGAATCCCTGCAGTCACGAAACCTTTAAATCGAAATTCACAATCGCTTGTTGAGGTACTGGCTGGAAATTAAATTACCCCATCATACCAGTGGTGTCAATAAAGCGAGTATCACTTTTGTGGGAAGTAAATGATGGTCATCGCATGCATGTGTAACGGGTCTCCCTGTGTCTCTCACTTCTGACCGTGATCTTGCTGAAACTACAGGAGCGGTTATGTATATACGTTGCACTTCTTTTGCATCGTACGTAGCCAAGCGTGCTAATCAGAGGTGCGGGGGGAGGACAACACACTAAACACGAAAAGCAGTTCTCAATAAATGAATTTTCAATCTGGAAGATTAAATGTGCAAAGCTACAGTGGCTTCCTAATATCGGAAGAACTGGACTGTCGACAAAAAAAAACAAGTGAAACATCGAGTTTAATGGGATGGTGTTGTTGTGCAGTCATCTGTGACCGGGCGCAGGCTATCAACTAGCTCGCGCATGAGGATCCGGTTTAATTCTGGGTGGACAAAAACTGGAGTTCAAACCCAGGCTCAGTAGAACTCTCTGCGTCGAGTTTCTGCGACTCTGCAACGTGACCACTCTGGGGGGTCACAACTCGGGCCCACAGACACGCGGCAACGCCTGGCTCCCACTCCGTAGATTAGAAATTCAAACATCCATTGGAGCTGCTGCGTGAACGCGACTCGCATTTTCGGCTCCCCCACGTGGCTCTCGAGTGGAAATCCGCATCGCCGCCCACCCGTATATCTGTCGGGAGGGGCAGAGCCGAACGCGGGGGGGGGGGGGGCGGCCTCTTGCTCTAAGCCCAGGGGGTCGGCAACCTGCGGTTCAGGAGTCGCATGCGGTGGCTCTTGAAGGACTGCAATGCAGCTCTTGAAATTCGACAAAAAAATGGCTCTTCTTGTTATTTGTGTTGTCGACTCCTGACCATAAAAGTCCAGTTCGCCGTGGAATTACAGTTCACCATGGAAGTTCTGTTTACCGTGGGCAGGGGTCGGCAACCCGCGGCTCCGAAGTTCCGTGACATTATTTGTTATGGACCACCGTCTTGTATTCACCACAGCCATTGCGGTCCCTTTAAATATTGCGGTTTTTTTATTTTACCGAATTCGAAAGAAATGCCTCGTTGTTTTGGATGCCGACCCACGCCCTGCTCTAAGCCAATCCCGACGCACCCCTGGCCCACGCTGCCGCCACGCCTCCCCGCAGGCTCGCCACCAGGGGGCGCGCGCCCCACATCCTCTGCGCAACTTGTCACCGACCGCATTACGCCTCTAAACACACAACCTGGACATCGCCATGGGCAGTGCCGGATTAACCTAGTACGGGGCCTGTAGCATATGTTATAAAGGGGCCATAAATAAAAAAACACGTAAATACATATACACATTTTTACTTGCATCGTAAAATAATTGTATTTTTTCATTTGCGATACAGCCAGATAATACGAAAAATCGCTAATCTTTAAACGCCCAGTCGTTCATAAAAGTTGAAGGAAGTATAGTACTATAGTAATAGAGCAAGTTCAGAATCACTGAATCAGAATTTATAGCTTGAAAGCGTTTAGCGCGGTGCCCTTGAAAGTGCCGGGCCCGTAGTATATGCTACTTGTGCTACTTGTGCTACCTGTGCTACTTGTGCTACTTGTGCTACCTGTGCTACTTGTGCTACTTGTGCTACCTGTGCTACTTGTGCTACTTGTGCTACCTGTGCTACTTGTGCTACCTGTGCTACTTGTGCTACTTGTGCTGCTTTTGCTACTTGTGCTACTTGTGCTACGAGGATAATCCGGCACTGGCCATGGAAATGGGGAATCTCCACCACACTGGCTCTTTGCTGCTGAGCAGGGAGACGAATTGACTTGGGAAAGTGATTTAAGCGCGTCAGGGTTACATTTTTCACTGAATGTATGTGAAGTGCGCCTACAGATAGGACCACGGAGTGGGCACTTGACCTACATTATTTGGCGTACCGGGCGTGGAAATGATTTCTGTGGATCGCAGAAAAACTAAACTGTAAGAAATATATTTTTTTATTTTACCAGGTAAGGCCCACTGAGCTATTTATCTCTTTTCAGAAGCGACATGACTATCGCAAATGATAGCTCAACGAAGTGGCTTATCACGTGGAAATGTATAGCCAGACAATTTACCCTAAACGTGTGATGTTGATTCTAAATGTGGAGGGAAAAACCGGATGACCCGGAGAAAAATCAACGTGACCAGAGACCCCGCAAACTCCAAATATACAGGCGTCAATGTCGGCATCGAATTTCCGATTTGCTGCATACCAGGCGAGGTAGTTAACAGCCCCGGCTGAAAAAACGGCGCGTCGGGTCGCGTTTGCACGACCGTGCACCCCCCCCCCCCCTCCCTCCGTAGAGGCGTGAGGCTCAGTCGCGGCGCGTCATCGTGGAGGTGAATACGACGGAGCGGGTGTGCACCCTGTGGGGGCTGCAGCCCGACAGCGACTACGCGGTGCGCGTCTCGGCGCTGACCCCCAGCGGCTCGGGCCCCGCCAGCGAGCCGGTGACCTTCCGCACGCCGGGGCCCGGGCCGCCGCGGCCCCACGCGGGCGGCAACGGCAGCCGCCACCTCGTCGCCGTCGGGGCGGCGGACGAGGCGAGGAGGAGCGGGGCCGACGGGACCTCGTCGTCGCTGGGACTCGCTCTGTTCTCCCGCGACCTCGCGGCAGGGAGGACTTTGGACGATCGCGCGGCAAGAGGTGCCTCTGAGCGAAGCTTGCGACGACCTTTTTGGCAGTGTCAAAATAGATGATGAAAAATGAGCGTTGGGTTTTTTTTTTACCCCTTACTGGCAACAAAACAGCTGTTGAGATGCTTTTACTTGTTTTGCCACAGTCTGAGAAATAAAACGTAATAATACTAAGTACTAGAGCAACAATGTATATTTGTACCTATTTAACATATCTTTTTACATATCGGTGGAGTGACCACCCTGAATCTGTTCAATGTTTCTGTAACTTAATTGTGCTGTGAATGGTTTAAAAGTAATTTGTCTTGGCCAACTTGCATTACGGGACGTTAATTATATCCCCATATTTATTTATTTATTTACGTGTGTGCAGCGTTTTTTCGATTTCTCTCTTTGCTTCCATCTCTATTTTGCTTCCCAGTGTCGCGTTTCAATTCGCGTCATCGGCTTTCATCATTCCGGTGGCGCAGGTCGTGCTCGCGAAACGAGACGCAATCCCACTCTCATTGAGCTCTCTCGCCTGGTAAAACCGTACCAACCTTGAACTTGACAACAAGTTCACAGATTGCAAACTCTTTTTCTTTAAAACTGCTTTTTGTTTGTGTTTCGTTTGTTGTCTCTCCCCCCCCCGCCCGCACCTCTGATTAGCACGGTTGGCTACGTACGGTGTGAAAGAAGTTCAACATACATACAGACATGCAATGACGCTTCACTCCGCGTTAACACCATTGTGCCGTGCCCCCCGCGTGTGCATCCGTCTTCCCCAAGGGGACGTGAACGTGAAGGAGCTCAGGAGAAAAAGGCCGGAGCTCGTGGCCGGGGAGTTGTTCATCATCAGCATTGTGCTCCTCATGTGGGCGGGTGAGACGGTTCACGCGCCGTTCGCTCCCGCAGCGCACCGAGCGGCAAATATCTCACGATCATCACGAAGGCTTCCGTTGTTACTAAGGTGTCGCTTTTGGAAGAGAAATCACGGTTGTCGAGCAGACGTCTCGAGGTCCCGAAGCACCAACCGGACAGCAACAAAGCGCACTTTTGAAGTTGTAACCGAAAAAACCTAAGAATAGGAGTTGATACACCGGCTCTTGTTCATACCCAGTCATTCTTATCACTGCCTGCTCAGTCGCCACACGAGATGCTGGGAACTGAGGGCCATGATTTAGCTGCATTGGTCATAGGAGGTTGTTTCACCATACTAAACTAAACTATGAAACTAACCTCTCACCTGAAGATGACTGCCCGTGTTGCGATTGAAACGTCGTGATCTGTTATTTTTCTATCTACGTGACTTTACCGAAAGACGCAAAGAGTGTTTTTTATTTTACCAGGCAAGGCCAACTGAGCTATTTAGCTATTTTTCAGAAGCGACCTGCCCTCAAATGATAACTCAACGAAGTGGCCTTATCACGTGGACATTTATAGCAGCCAAATACTCTAATCGCGCGATGTGGATTCTAAATATGGAGATAAAATCGGAGGATCCAGAGAAAAATCTACACGACCACTGGGAGAACATGCAAACTCCAAATATATATCATGGGACCTTTTTTCCCCAGTATCAAAGTACGAAAAATAAGAATAGGTTATTCTATTCTTATTAAACTAGTGTAATTGCCTGTCATATGATGGGTTCGTAAAAAAAAAAGTTAATGGAAAAAGACAAACATTTTAAGATTGTATTGAATTTATTTAATCTAAAATGTCTCATATATAATCACATTCGGTACCAATTGACGATCATCTCCATAACGTTCGACACTGATGCTGGTTGGATTTTTGCATATTGACAAAGCAACATAAAGTTGTTCATGGGAAAAAAACAGATTAAAATGTCTCCATTAAAACATTGGCTACAACTTACCAGTGAATGGTTGTAAGGTCTCAGACAGAAATCGGGCCAGTTTGTAGGTGAGGGGAGTCAATGGTGGAGACCTTACAACCATTCACTGGTAAGACCACCTCAGCTGTATTTAACTCAGCTCACTTGGTATCTTCAATTAAGGCCATCTCACTCTCTCCAGGTGATTCGATTGTCAGTTTTGATGCAGTATCTTTGTTTACTAAAGTTCCTGTGCCTGACACCATTGCAATCATTGAAAATTTGGTCCAACAAGGACTGAATGCTGATGTACCGGCCCTGGTGAGACACTGCCTCACCAACAATTACTTCACCTGGAATGGTACATTCTTTCAAACAAGTTGAAGGTACCCCAATGGGTTCTCCCTTATCTCCAGTTGTAGCCAATGTTTTCATGGATAAATTTGAGACAGATGCCATCCAGGCATCCACCCTACGGTCTTCTTTGTGGAAGAGATACGTAGATGACACATTCGTAATCTGGCCATATGGCCTGTCAGCACTGAACCAATTCTTCAACCACATCAATTCCATACACCCAGCCATCAAATTCACAATGGAGGTGGAAAAGGATGGCAAGTTACCTTTCTTGGATGTTTTAATCTAAAAGACACCAGATGGCTCAAAACCTGACTCCCACCACCATCCATCCCAGAACAATTCCCTCATCAAAACTCTACACCAGGGGTCCTCAAACTTTTTAAACAGGGGGCCAGTTCACTGTCCCTCAGACCGTTGGAGGGCCGGACTATAGTTTAAAAAAAAACTATGAACAAATTCCTATGCACACTGCATATATCTTATTTTGAAGTGAAGAAACAAAACGGGAATAAATACAATATTTAAAATGAAGAACAAGTAAAGTTAAATCAACAAACTTGCCAGTATTTCAATGGGAACTATGGGCCTGCTTTTGGCTAATGAGATGGTCAATGTCCGGTTCCATATTTGTCACTGCTCGTCGTAACAAGTGATGCAAGTGTGCATCCATTAGTCTAGATCTGGTTGGAGATTTCAAATGTTTCATTCTGGAAAAAGTCTGTTCACAGACATAAGTGCTGCCAAAGATGGTTGCCATTTTGAGTGCATGGTTCCTGAGATGAGGATATGTCTCAGAGGGGAGAGATGCATAGAAATTATGAAGGCTGCTTGACTTGAATGCGTCTTTCAGAGTCACAATTCTGCAGTTCAGCCAGTTCCATTTGGTAAATTGTATCCACATTTTCAATGTCAATAGAAAATGGGTTACGGAAAAGCTGTATGTCCTGTTCATGGAGATGAAGCTCTTTAAATCCAAATTGGAACTCCTTTTGCAATTTTTCCAGTGAATCCACACGTTTTGTTTGGGAATGCAACCAATGGTTTTTCCGCTAACAGATTTTGAGTTGTGGGGAGATGGCAGAAGTTTTCCTCCTTCACTTGTTTGATGAGGAGGCCTAATATTACTTCAAATGCTTTGACATGTGATTGCATATCACAGATGAGCTTCCCCTTTCCTTGAAGTTGCACATTGAAACTGTTGAGTAGCTCTGTTACATCTGTCAGAAAGGCAAGGTGCCATTTCCATTCTGCATCATTGAGCTCTGGTACTTCTTTGTTTTTTTAAAGCAGAAAAGCTGTAATCTGTGGAAGTAAGTCATAGAAACGTTTCAAAACTCTCCCTCGACTCAGCCAACGGACTTCTGTGTGATACAGAACATCTTCATAGTCAACATTTAGCTCAGACAGAAATGCTTGAAATTGTCTGTGGTTTAGTGCATGAGCTCTAATGAAGTTAACACAAGATACCACAAATTTCATAACCGAGTCCCACTTCAGTGATTTACTACACAGCGCTTGTTGGTGGATGAGGCAGTGTATGGCTATTGGATGAGAATGGTTATGTTTGTCCATCTCTTGGTTAATGCGAGCAATTACTCCTTTCTTAGACCCCACCATGCTAGGAGCACCATCAGTTGTCACACTGGCTAGTTTAGCCCAGTTCAGCTCCAAACCATTCACAGTTTGGCAAACCTTTTCATAGATATCCTCTCTTCTTGGTTCTTTCGGTAAAGTCACGTAGAAGGGAAGTAATAAAATAATAAAAATAAAACATAATAAAATAATTCTCACGACGTTTCGGCCACAACGCAAGCAGCCGTCCTCAGGTGAAAGCCAGGTCTGTCGGGGAGACAGCGTCTGAATGAAACCACACGAGCTTGGAGCATATATAAGCTGGGTTGGAAACGGGGGAAAGAGCGCCTTGACAAATAATTTGCATATCAAGAGGAATTTAGCATATTTATGGGACATGCAGGAATGTTATTAGTACTACATATGCAGCACGGGCATATGTAGTACTAATCACATTCCTGCATTTCCCATAAATATGCTAAATTCCTCTTGATATTGAAATTATTTTGTCAAGGCGCTCTTTCCCCCGCTTCCAACCCAGCTTATATATGCTCCAAGCTCGTGTGCTGTTTCATTCAGACGCTGTCTCCCCAACAGACCTGGTTTTCACCTGAGGACGGCTGCTTGCGTTGTGGCCGAAACGTCGTGAGAATTATTTTATTACTTCCCTTCTATGTGACTTTGCCGAAAGAACCAAGAAGATGAATCCCTGCAGTCACGAAAGCTTTAAATCGAAAGATATCCTCTCCTGTAGTTGTTCCTTTGATGCTTTGCAGTGCAGCAAGCTCTTCTGTGACTTCGAAATAGTCATTCGTCGCACGAATAAAAATTAGAAGTTGTGCAGAATCACGAACATCATTGCTTTCGTCGAGTGCCAAGGAAAAATAGGAAAGTTTTTTGTGGAGTTTTGCAAATGCTGATGCAAATTGTCTCCCAATTCTTCAATCCTCCGTGTAATTGTAGGTCCTAAAAGACTCACTGTACTAAATAAATCGGCCTTCTCTGGACACATCTCTTTGGCAACAGAAAGAAGGCATTCTTTAACAAATTCTCCCTCCACGAATGGTCTGCCAGTGCATGCTATTAGCTTGGAAACTTGAAAACTTGCTCGCAGTGATGAAATATTTAGCTGCTTCTGCTTCACAAAACTATTTCGCTGAGTTGTTAATGTATTTTTCAGTTTTAATATTTTATCTTTTCTCACTTCTCCGACTAAACAAGCATATTCATCTTTATGTTGAGTTTTATAGTGTTGACGTAAATTGTATTCTTTGAACACAGACACTATATTCTGGCATATCAGACACACAGCTCTTTCCTTGTACTGCATGAAAAAGTAATCATAAGTCCACTGTTCTTTGAATATCCTACACTCCGAGTCAATTTTTCTCTTTCTTGACATCATTGTTTCCTAGGGAGTCAAAATTGATATTAGTAAAATACCAATATATATACAGCGCTACAAAAACAATATACCAGTAATAACTTTGCCCACACAGAGACATACAGACTGCACTGCCCATCAATGCAGTCTGATTGGGGGAAACTCCGCCCCCTCTCCCTCTTCCACCAATGACCGTCCTTCTCATGCAGAAAAAAAGTAACAGACAGGCAGCGGCGGCAAAAACACCCGGCGGGCCGGATAAATGTCCTCGGCGGGCCGCATGTGGCCCGCGGGCCGTAGTTTGAGGACCCCTGCTCTACACCATAGAGCTCGATGTATTTCTGACCATCACCACCTAGCCAGTGAACTGGAGCAGATGTAGTGGTGGTATTGACGTGCGCCGACAGTGATGGATCACGGGGCGCGGGGTTGGGCACGCGATGTGGGCGTGGTATGGACGCGCGCGCCGGTGGTAAGGCGCGCTGACACAAGCTGGGAAAAGAGGATCGTAGCGAGTGCGCAGTGATTGGTCAGATAAGTGGGTGCTCTCAGCGACGTCCGCAGGAGGGGTATAAAGGGAGACGCGCGAGAGCACTCGTGGTCAGTGTTAACCAGTTGAAGACCGAAGACGGGGTGGAGGAGGTAGTGGCCCGAGACCCCTAGTCCCGCCGTCCTTGTGAGGACCGGGGCCCTGTGCGGCTCGGAGCCAAGACTGGGGGACCATAG